GTACCGCCACCAGCGAAGGCTGTCGGACCCCAGCGCGAACCTCAACAACTTTGTGCGCGGCGGCTGGAGAACGAAGCCCGACACGGCGGCCACGAAGGCCAGGTCGGAGAACGAAGGCCTCGACTCCATGGCGAACGGTCTGAGTGAGATCGAAGCCGGCGACGTGCGAGATGGTAATTATCGGGGACGCAACTCGCGCGAGATCGAAGCCGGCGAAGAGAGACACACGACTGTTATCTTACTTACTAGACCTTTGATTTTACACTCTTAGAGACTGGCTATCCATAGCTCGCATTTAGCGCTGGAGATGCGATAGTGCGCTCATCGTCGGCGGCAGACGACCCTGCGACGGCGGAAATTCCTAAGCGACATCCTGAAAAGTCGCGTAAAGGCGTCTCGCGAGAGCGTCTCTCGCGAGGTCGTCTTGTTCTCACGCGCCCGCTAAGAGTCTGCGCTGCCCGGGACGTTGCTATCACGTCATCGTTCACTTTTCTTGCCTACACGCGAGAACTTCGGAGAGCGAAGATTTCGCGGCCGACGAGCGACGAGTCGAGCGTTAGACGCGAGATATGGATACGCGCTTTCTAATGTATCTTTCTCTTCTCAATGTATTTCGTTCGCATCCGCTCTCGGTCTGCTCGGCATGCTCCTGTGTTGTATCTGTGTGAGCACAATTGTCTTGGATGTTATCTCAGGCATATAGATCTCCTCTCTCTCTCTCTCTCTCTCTCTCTCTCTCTCTCTCTCTCTCTCTCTCTCTCTCTCTCTCTCTCTCTCTCTCTCTCTCTCTCTCTCTCTCTCTCTCTATCTATCTATCTATCTATCTATCTATCTATCTATCTATCTCTCTCTCTCTCGGCAGTGATACTTTCTTTTCTCCCAATGCTGGTAACTCTGCATATAGACTCGAGGCTGATCGGGAGGATCGAAACCTTCTCACGGGGAGGGCAGGCCGTGAGGCCGCATTAGCGCCATATAGAGAGCGAACGCATGCAAAACATGTTACCAGTAAAGTTAGCTTCTCTCTACCTCGAACTCGCGTCCCAACTGCCGCATGCGTTTGCGTCTACTTCCTTCTCTCGCGTGAATGACGCGCTAACGAGGCTGGGTATTCACCGCGACGCCCGTCCGCATTAGATTCAGCATCAGCGGCTCGCCGCTCGTCCCGATGTCCGTTTTCTAAACACCTCCCTAGACCTCCACTTGAGCACTCGGGACGCCGAGCTCTCAGGGCGCTGTCGCGCTGAAAGAGACCGGGTTTTAGCGCGGTAGCACCCTCGTGAAATGCGTTAGACACGTTAGACGATGTGAGAGAAATAGAAATACACCGAGAAAAGAACGGTTCAGACCACCGACCACTCTAATCAACCACTATGAACCATCATCACAACCACAACCACCACCACCTGCACCACCACCACAACCACCACCACCTGCACCACCACCACCACCACCACCACCTGCACCACCACCACCACCACCACCACCACCACCACCACTACCACCAACCACCACCACCACCACCACCGCTACCACACAGTAACTTCCGATTCGGTCGAGTCGCGAGGTCGCGCGTACCGAGAAGGGCGAACAGAAAAGCAAAAAGAATGAGCGAGAAAGTTGTTTCTTCTTGTGTCTAATCAGCGGCACCTGCCATGCCGGCTCTTTCCTTTGTAGCCGATGTACAGGATAGCAGCTGGGGCGGCCGGAGCTCACCGGGAAATCGTAGAAGTCCCTGCTCGCTCCGTCGGCGAAGATCGCCTCAGCTGTCGGCCCGACAGCAACAACAACAACAACAACAACAACAACAACAGCAACAACAAGTACAAGTACAACAACAACAACAACAACAACAACAACATCCCGTCCACAAGCAACGTAATGCCCGGGAACGCTCCGGGAATGAGAATTCGCCGAGTCGCAAGGAGATCTATCGCGAGACACACGGTGAGTGTGCTCGTTCGCGCTGAAAACGATCAATCCGCGTCTGTCCTGTCTCTCTGCTCTGGCAACGCTTCATGTGATTGGTAGAACACTCTCTCTCTCTCTCTCTCTCTCTCTCTCTCTCTCTCTCTCTCTCTCTCTCTCTCTCTCTCTCTCTCTCTCTCTCTCTTTCTCTTTCTGTTCGTTAGAACTGCAAAGTCACGTCATGTTCGGTTAAGCCTCGACTAAGCCTAAGAATAAGTTCAGTCAATTTCAGCTGCCGCGATTTTATGTTGAAACATTGTACTCTCTTTCAAAAGTATCCGAAACATCATGAAAATCTCGTTCCTTCATAATTCTGTTTGTAACGACTGAAGGAAGGTTGACAACATGCAAACAACGAAATCACTTTGAGATATATAGAAGACGCGCGTTCTCTTTCTTTCTCTCTCTCTCTCTCTCTCTCTCCCTCTCTCTCTCTCTCTCTCTCTCTCTCTCTTCCTCTGGCCGTTGGCAAAGCGCAAAGAGACCGGAAGCACGATCGTTTGTAGTCGCGACACGGGTGCAATCGCCGTCAAATGACGACGTGGTTCTCGCGGCAGGTTTCCACAACCAGCACAATCAGCAGAATCACCAGCACCACCACATAGAAGTGGGCAGCGAGATCTTAGTGCCGGCCGGCGCGTGCCTGACGGACGACAACGTCCGGCAGAAGCTAGACTCGGGCGCCATATTGGTGCACGGTAAGGAGGAACTGCCGCTGGGCTACGACGACGTGGCGACTACGGAGGACAATAACCGGAAGCGACGGCCATACAGCGCCGGCCAGCTGCTCAACCACGAGCACCGGCTGAACGGCTTGGAGAACGACGACGAGGAGCGCCGGCGGCTCAGCGACGATGAGCTCCTCAGGGTGAGGCGGACGGACGGCAGACGCCGGCTGCGATCCGCCGGCTCCGATCACGAGGACTACACCACCGCGAACAACGGTCTGAACAAGAACAAGAACGACGAGCCGATCAGAGACAAAAACGCGAACGCCCGAGTGACGCGCGGCAATAGCGACGCGGCCGCGCGCAGGCAGAGCGCCACGTTGCCCCGAAGACGACGCAGAAGGGCCCTGTCCGGCAGCTTCGCGGGCAACCCGCTGCCGCCGCACCGGGTCACGCCCGACGGCACCGCGATCTACTACTGGTGCGAGCTCCCGCGCCGCCCCGGCTCACAGGGTAAATTTATCCCACCCTGAAAAGTACCACCCTGTGAAAACGATATCAGCTCTGTCTTTCTGTCTTTCTGTCTCGCGTCTTCCGCCTCCAAGCCCGCGCCCTCAGCGTCGCATTCCCGATCCCGATGACCGATGCAATCCGCAGACTTTCACTTCCATTGCGACCGACTGGCTGTCGATGTGCGTGCGTGCGTGCGTGCGTGTGTGTGTGTGTTGCATAGATTCAGAGCATCCCGCACGGCGCGTGCTGCGCGGCCTCAATGACTGTGTTTATGGGATGGTGAAACGGGCACTTTTGTCGTCGTCATTGTTGTCGTTCCGTTCGGTCAAGTGAGAGTACGAGGGTGGTGACAACGGTGGTGGTCCGCATCGGGCGACTGATGCATGACTGATCGGAAACCCGGGCCGCTGTCACTCGCGTAGAAAGCACTCTGCGCTTCCGACGCGCGCTCGCTCTCGCTCGTGACAATTTCACCACCGGCAATAAGCATAGTCATCGAAAGTAGGTGGAAGATTAGCTCGCTCGCGACCTAATCGCGCGGAAGTGACGTTCATTCCGTTCTTGATGCCGCAACTCCCGCGAGCGCCTCGAGCGGAGCACTTTGGAGCCCGAAGCGTGAGTCCGGCCAACCCGCGAGCGATTTCTTTTCAGCCAGCGGGGACCAGCAGGACTCTTCTGCGACTCTTCTTCCGTGCGCGCGTGCGTATGCTTCATTCGCACCGAGGGATCGTGCTGAACGAATGTGTGCTTCTTGATAGTTGCGACTCCGGATATAACAAACCGGATAAACCAGCACGCTTCCCTCGCGTGAGAATTGCGTCTCGCGTATTCCTCTCTCTCTCTCTCTCTCTCTCTCCCTCTCTCTCTCTCTCTCTCTCTCTCCCTCTCTCTCTCTCTCTCTGTCTTGCACACGCACTCTTGTATGTACGTACTGTTTGTAATCTGTGTGTCACTCTCGAACTTGTTGAACTTGTCGCTCGTCCATTCGGCTAACATCAGCGACTGACGTCTCGATCGGTGGACGATGGAAGCTTTCGCTGCATCCCCGATCCCACGACTTTCAGTTTCGTCCGTCTGACTCTCTGTGTGTTTCGCCGCGTACCTCTGACGCTCGATGTTCGTTCTGTCACGGGAACCGGGAAAAGAAGCATCACACGACTCGATCGTCCCGTCGGCTTCCGGACGTTTCGGATTGTCCCAGAGGGTGTCTGATCATACGTAACCCGACGCGATTCGGGATGCGCCGTGAAATAACGAGTGTCGTTTTCTTGCCGCTTCAGAGCTGGACGACGGTGCGTACAACCCGCTGTGGACGATGCGCGGCTTCACCCAGACCTTCCACTTCTGGAAAGAGACGAAGCGGGCGCAGTCGGTGCCGTTGAACGCATTCTTGACGTACATTACGCTGCCGTGGTGGAGCATAGCCAAAGGTGAGGCGACAGTCGCGAGTCGCGGCAGAACTCTTTCTTCTGGGAAATACAATGGACAGTCCGGGGAACTTATGGCGCAACCGACCAAATTGCACGGTCATTCAACCCCGATCGTTTCTGTTGCAGACATTCTGGATCACCGGGAAGGACCTATCTTGACGTTCTAGCCCACAACGTAACAAGCGTGTGTGTGTGTGTGTGTGTGTGTGTATGTGTACTTTTGATTTCGACACACTCTCCTGTCCTGTTTTCTTTTTTACTTTGTACGTACGTCGACAAGATTGTGGCCCAAGAAATAATGATGTATAGATTAAGTAAATAAAACACGAATATTATTTACAAGAAATAGCGGAGCGACGCGCGACTCCAGGTTTTCGGCTTTGCGCTCTCCCGCTTTTCCCGCGAAACATCTTAACGAGCCTCTGCGCGCGTAATAAATTATTCGTTGATAATATTGTCGAGATATATCCGAGATATTTTCGTCGCGAGATCGCGGAATAACCGAGCCGCGACTCCCTCCACTCGTCAATCCGTTAATCAACATTTCGCGGTACTGTTAACCGCACGCCCCTGTGCCTTCCGGCGGTTATAAACGAACGAGGAAAGAACGCGACGCTCATTATCGCGCTTGACATGTGCGAGCGTTATTACAGCTAATTCCAGTAATTGCCCAGTCCCGCGAGTCGCGAGTTAATCATGCGGTCCTCTCTCATCTTGCTGTGCGCCGTGATGCTCGTTTGGTGGTCGAGCGGCAACATCGCAGCTCATCGATACGACAACGAGTACAACGAATTGCGGGCTCACGACGGTGAATCGACAGGTACGAATCGAAGATATTTCTCTCTCGAGCGCGCAATCTCGCCACCCCCCCCCCCCCGCCGCGCCTCCGATCGCGCCTCCGGCTTGAACTCTCGTTGCGATCGATCGTAAGAGAGAGAGAGAGAGAGAGAGAGAGAGAGGGAGGGAGGGAGAAAGAGCCTCGTCGAGAAATCACGAAAGCAATCCCGAGAGTCTTCGTGCGAAACCCGAAACAATGTTTCATTCACGGCGATATTTATATCGGCGATTGTCTCGTGGACAAGTAGTGTCTACGCGTTCACATTGTAGTCGAGAGAGGTGAACGAATCGCCGCCCGGCAAAAAGTCGCGCGCGACTGATCCGTCGTTGGTGAAATCAGAATCTTAGATCGATAACCGTTGACCTGTAGTTTCTTGGAATTAGTAAGCACGCCAGTGTACGGTCGTGTGTGTTAACGTTCAATGATAAAAGTGGCTCTTGTGTCTCGTAACTCTTTCTTTTTTAATCGGTCAGCATGTGCCAACAAATGAGAGAGCGAGAGAGAGAGAGAGAGAGGGAGGGGGAGCCTACGGCGAATATTACAACTGATAATTTCTTCCCTTGAGAATTTCGAATATAACGACCTGAGACATGTCTCAGCTTTTGCAGAGCAGTACTCATGAATTTGCATTCAACAGACTGTTCGGGGAAATCTATGAGGTTGAGTCATCAGATGAGAGGAGTAAAGTGTGAGCCGAGGGAAACTATGGTTAAATTGGTGCCGCAGCTGGGCTCCACCTTTTTCCCGAATTACGCACGCGTGAAAAGGTGCAGCGGCTTCTGCACGAAAAGTAAGGCGTGCATGCCAGTCATGCCGGTAAACCTGACGAAAGTCGCCGTGAGAATATACGGCTTCAAGACCAAGGGATGTTACAACGTGCTAGTCGAGGAGCACATCAGGTGCAAGTAAGACGGTCCTTCGTCTCTTCATATCTCTGATATGCGATGATCGAAGCGTAATTGACTGTGTTGACTGTGACGCTATTCTGTCTTATTTGGTTACACACGAGAGAAAAGTAGCTATAAAATAAATATATAAATTAAATATAAGCTAGCTATACGTATGCAATTGGAGGCGTTTGAAAAGTCCGCTAAACGCCGCCAGGGAAAATCCCAGGAGACGAAGTGGCAAATATTCACACACGTCTCTTAAGTAGTCTCTTACCGTAATAAAATTTCCGGCTCGGTCTACAGCCGCCGCAAGTCCCGGGAGAAGTTGCAAAAACGAGAGAGCGGAAGTCGGACTTCGCGGAAATCGGTCACCGCGGGAAGCGCACGAAACTGCGGTGAGAATATTATTGATTCACATCCGCTGTTGAGCGATATAATTTTAGGTGCCTGTGCAGCGTACAACCCTTCGACTGTAACGCTCACCAGCGCTACTCGAAGGACAATTGCTCGTGCGAATGCATGAACAGACAGAGCTGCGACGCGTCGCGCCACATGGTCTGGGACGAGAAAACGTGCAAGTGCACTTGCACCAAGCCCGAGGAGCTGTGCTCGAGCGGACTCGAATGGGTTCATTCTCGTTGCAGGTAATACATAAAACCCCCCTTTCTCTCGGTGCCACTGTCGCGCATTCCTAATTTTATACATTTTCCTCCTTCGTGTCTCGCTTTATTTTTCACTTCCTTCTCCCTAATGATTGTTGCTCGTCAACTGGGAAACGACAAATTCGATACGTCGCGCTGAAAAACTTGTTCACGAGACGTCTCTCTCTCTCTCTCTCTCTCTCTCTCTCTCTCTCTTGAGGCTTTTTTCCTTACATTTATAATTTAAACAAAAAAGACACAAGTCGGCAAATTCAGTACGCTATGATTTTTTTCCTTTTCCTTTAGACGCCTAAGAAATATCCTTAATATATCCTGTAAAAATCCTCAGGACGTCTGACAGGATATCCTCTGGATATCTTAAATTTTCTCTTCCTCAGGATCCCTAAAACATAGCCAAAATATATCCCGGGGTGAAATCCCGGACAGGATATCCGCCCGTCCTTAGAATTTCCGAAGGATGCCATTGTGCTATCTGGGCAATCGATTCTCAACTCGACACTCGAGTAACAAACTCGAAATCTTCTTGTGTTGCAGATGCGCCAAGGTTATGGACATGATGTACGAAGATAATTGAGGAGATCATGAGATGACGAGATAAAACTCGAGTCGGTAACAGGTAACACACCTGCGCGGCAAACACAGAGCCCCTTTTTCTCGGTGTGCTACAGATCGACTGTGTTGCGTCTTTAACTTTAGATTTTTCTCCCTTACGTGGGAGACTCGCTTCACCTTTTTCCCCTAAAAAATCCGGCAAGTAAGTAAGTAAGCGCGAAATCTTCCTACGTTTCAGATGCGCCAAAATACGTGCAGACGCATACAATGATAAATGAGGAAGTCATGAAACCACGACGAAATTCAATCCAGACGATTGTATAATCTTCGAGTACTTTACTCGCGGTATCAGAGGAAACAATAATGATATATACATGTACCTCATCCGTGATAATTTGTGCTTGGATTTATTCATCCATGAGAAAAAAAATCCATAATAAAAAGATCCATAATAAAAAATATCCTAGACATTCTCCCTCCCAGGTACGTTAAAATCCCTGACACGAAACGACATTGACGAACTGACGAGGTGACAAACGCGGCGACACGTTGGGCGACGCCACGCGATGGTTATGAATGAAACAACCTTCTCGATATAACGTCGTAATCAGGTATCGTTATAATCTATTACGGATACACACATCTTCTTTTATCGTCAACGCTTATATAAACATGTAAAAAAGACTATGTACTTGTACGATACCGTATATATCTCTTCGTAAAACATCGAGAAGTGACATTCTCCGAGTAGAAGCTGAACAAACGCTGAACAAACAACGAGTATTTCAAGCATATAACTCGCGCGCGTTGCTCGTCGCACAGCAAGGCGAATTTGAACGTGAAATGGCCGACTGTCAGTGCGATCGATCAAGCCACAGCGGTTAAGAACTTGACGTAATCTCCGAAATTGTTCCAAGTGTGGTCCCACAGACTCGGGTCGCCCTTGTTATCCCAGGGCAGGTTGCCGGGATAAATCGCGCTGCTGTTGAACTTCTTCAGCTCTTCCTGCAGCTTCCGCACGATCGTCGGGGACCTGCGAGTACCGTCAACGTAAAATCGCTCGTCGACCGCGGCGCGGTCGAAGAACGTTCCGAGGAAGACCGAAGACACCGTATTCTACTCACTGCCTGACGAGATTATTATCCTCGCAAGGATCCTGGTAGACGTTGAAGAGGCACGGCTCCTGCAGCGGCTTGCAGAGCGGCAGGCTGTCGTTCTTCGGCGGGCACTTGATCATCGCTTTCTCTCGCAGCATCCTCACCGTTTCCGCGGTGATACCTAATCCTACGCTGGCGACGGCGCGTCCTGCTTCGCTGCCGATCACGCCACCCACATCGTAGACCCATTCTCTGCCGGATGGGCCGTACCATCCGTCCCATGCCCCGTTATAAGTAGACCCTGCGAGAGAACGTCTGGAAGGTCTAGTCACGTCTACGGTTCTACTAACGAATGCTCTATGCGGTTGAAGATATATTTTCATACGCACGAAACTTCAATACCCCTAACGCATGCGATTGAGATCTATCGTATCAGATATCTGGTGGTTAATTCTTTCCGATTTTCGACAATTTTCAATCTCTATTTAGAGATCGATGAAACAAAGTCAATCAGTGAGATATTTTTCGTCGTTATCGATGATCTTACACCGGTTTACTGGACGGTTGCCCGATCCCATCACGTTAGAACCACTTGCTGGCTATAAAGTCATCGATGAATGAATCGTACGTCGCCAACTGCGTCGAGAAATGCGTGTCAGACATTTTTGTCTTCAACTCTTTGTCTTCAAGTTTGTTTTGGCTGATCAGGTCACGTAGTTAGTTAGTTCGTTGTAAAGATCCAAATTCCACCGTTTCGGAAAGCAGTTCAAACCAGTTTCAGCGATCGTGCGATCGGTCACAGAATTTTCATCGCCATGAGCAGCGGGGAGAATGCATAATTACCGTGTTTACCGAGAAGCAAAGCGTCAGAATCTTATTTACAGCGTCAGGTGACAGGATGATGAATTTTATTCGATTTATTCTCAGCTGGAATTTACCTCACTCCTCCGGCTCAAATCGCGCGAGTGGTCAACGACCGAGTGGAATGGAGGATAGAAAATATTCATGAACTCAGAAATAGGGTCGCGCGCGCGCGCGCGCATCTCGAGTGAAACTTTGAATCCCTTTGAATGTTTTCTTACCTTGAACAAGTTTCCAGTCGCCGACCGTGACGGCTGATACGCCGTAAATATCGTCGATATTGTGGAGAACGCTGGTGCGGGGCGACTCGGTGTCGTCGCTGAGCGCGCTCCACAGATCCATGCCGTCGATGTTCAAATTCGACGGATCGCCACCGGCGGCTGTTATAAGCGTCGGCAGCCAGTCGGTGATGTGTAACAGTTGCCTGCTTACTCGGCCAGATCGAGTCAATTTCGGCGACCATATCAACCCCGCACCTCTCACGCCACCTGATTATTACGGTTGCGATTGTCACTGCCAGATCGATCTCACTGCGGCCGCGCTCGCAGTGGATTGGCCGCCACATCAAATCGGCACACAAGTGTGTGATAATTTTATCAGGGGCGCTCGCGATTCGCTTTAGCGACAGCCTGCTACCGCGAAATTAATGTCCCGAAATTGTCGCTTGGGAAAATGGACGATCCGCGAGCCGGCACCCGATTGCCGAAAAGCCAGAGCTTCAGCTAAGAATCGATCGATCGATCAATCGTTATCCTCTCGTCTTCGGCTGATCATTATTCTCGTCCACGGTGTGGTCAGTTTTTGGTAATTAATGAATCTTTAATCTAACGTGATCGGTGATATTGATCGGTGATAATACCTTCCCACAGAGTATTTTTCACGCCTCTTAGGGGCCAGTTGGACGCGGCGTTCAGGTTAAATCCAGCCGCGGGCCCGCCGTTGTCCGTCGAGAAGATGATTACGCTGTCTCGCAGCATACCCTTCTTGCGCAGACCCTCCACCACCTGGCCCACCGATTTGTCCAGTTTGCTGAGTATACCTGCGTCGAAATTTCGGAAATTGGCGCAAGTGTCGCTGCAGTCGCAACGTACGCGTCTCGATAATTTATTCTTGTCGCGCAAACTCTTGTCTCGCAATCGCGATCTCCGCGTGTAATTCTCCTTATCATAATTTCTCTCGTCGGTAACGACGTTCCTTTTTCCAAGGCACGAGCGCCCGTCGATCACCTGCGAAACGTCGACGATTGTAGTCGAAGATGTTATCGAACTTGGCGACCTCCTCGTCTGGCGCCGGAAGCGGGTTGTAAGGGTTTCCGGAGTGCACAGCTGCGTGGGCGAGATACAGAAACAACGGCCGACTAGAATTGTGCCGGTCGATCAGCCGCAACGCCTCCTTTGTGAAGACGTCCGTGGAATATTGGCCGTGAAGGTCCCATGCCGGTTCCATGTCCCGCCTCATGTCCAGACCCCAGTAGGGCTGCGTAAAAATTGCAATTTCGCATTTCCCTCGCCTTAACGCCGCAAACGCGCGAGCTCGCTCGTATAAGAATTATACAACTCGCGCGAGCGGACAGAGAGAGAGAGAGTTGCTGCAACGACCAGCAGAGACCGACTCTGGGACTGTGGGACTTGTGGAGAGAACACTGTGTCCGTTGTTATCTGTGCTAAGTGGTTTGGGAGATTTGGAAATGGTGATGAAACATGTCAGCCGGAACATGAAACTGTTGCCCGAAAAAGGACGAAGCTTATCGACAGCAGCGGCCAATACTTCGATCGAAAATATCGCATCGTATCCCATTGTTATGAATAAATAATATAATATAATATAATATAATAAAAATAATGAAATAAAATAAAGTAAAATAAAAACTCATTGTTACGAATAAATATAATAAAATAAATAAAAATGGAAATTACTTGAATATCGCGTAAACTTTCGTAAGCTTGCGCGACGAGCGTAAGCTTGGATTTTCTCTGGGAAGATTTTTATTAAAAATTCCAAATATTCCTTCGTCCCTTGTTTTCTTTTTACGGAATTTCACGGAAAGGGCCTCCCGATGTCTCTCCGTCTCAGTTTCACTTGAACCGAGCTACCGAGTGTTAGTCATCATGTCTCCGTCGTACACTCAACACTTAACGCGAACGCACCGTTCTCGCGTTACGCTCTCGCGATGAATGAGCTTTTCACGCTCATTTCAAAGCGGACTAATAAAAGCCGGAATTACGACGCAGCGTCAAAGCGTCGACATCGAGTGTCGTCGTCGTCGTCGTCGTCGTCGTCGTCGTCGTCTCGAGAGAGAGAGAGAGAGAGAGAGAGAGAGAGAGAGAGAGAGAGAGAGAGACGAGGCCTCAACCGTCGTCGCCTCGTCGTCATCTTCGCGTTAAATTCGCGAAGCGAGCGGCAGGTTTATTCCCGGTAACTCGGTTTATTCTCACGCTTTCAACGGCCGTGTGGTCGAAATAATCCTGGTGGCCGGTCCAGAAGCCAGTATGCGAGGCGAATCCCCGGTAGGTCGGCGTGTACTCCTTCGTGTAGAAGCCCAAGTGCCATTTGCCGACGATGTGCGTGCTGTAGCCAAGGTCGCGCAAATACTCCGGCAAGATCTTCTCGTGCAGCGGCAGTCCTCTAGGCTCCGCACCTTTGAGAACCTGAATTATTCATGAGATCCAAGATCGTCGTGAGATCGTGGCAAAATCTTCCGTCTCTCTTATGACATGGTACTTTCGGCAGGAGGGAGAAGAGGAATCAACGGCTCGTCAATATTTCACATTAGCCCAAGCGACGAAGAAACGCAAGCCGAGATCTCGCGACTCGGAGCTTGGTCGCAATTGTCAGAGACCGACGCGCGAGCTCATCAGAGTTGGTTCGACGATTAGTTAGAAGAGCACGTCTGTGAACCGTCGCGAGCGAGCGAGACAGGTATATGTGAATCAACTATGCGCGTGTTTTTATTTACTTGATAGGCGCACGCACGCGCGCGCGCGCGTGTTCGTGCAAGCTAACGTGCAGTACGCGAATAAAGCAGCAACGCGTCTGCCACGCGGCATGATAATTTCCAATTGAACTATCCGGGTCACAACGCGGCGAAAGCACGATGCGTGCAATATCCCCTTTAGAACGCCGCTGCACGGCCGGCAGAACAACAACGTTTCCGCCAGCCGATGGCCGATCAATCATGTTAATTTATTGATACAGGTGCAACGGCGATCGGCAATAAACGCTGACGGGCCGCTCAATTATCCCGATTGCTTCGACGTGAAAAAACAGAAGCAAAGGGGAAGCTTCGGATTTGGGAAGGGAACGATCGCGCGGCGGAAACGCGCCGCGCCGTCTTCATTATTCGCCGGGACTTCGAATGAAGCGCGAGACGACACTTGACGAGGGATTCTGGACTTGACACTTACTCCATGTTGCATCCCGATGTGAATGGGATATTTGCCGGTCATCAGGGCGCTCCTGGACGGCGTGCATATCGGAGTGACGTAATACCTGTCGAGCAGTAGACCGGAGTAGGCGAGGGCGTCGATGTTCGGCGTCGGAATCTGGCCGGAGCCGTGAAAACCAACGTCGTTCCATCCCTGAGGAAAATAAACGTCGATGTCGTCTCGTGAAATAATCAAGCGCGCTAGGATTCGCCATGCACTCGTCGTCCCCGCGAGTTCGAGCTGAAGCCGACCCCGCTTGCCTGCAACTTTGCTCGCCTACGAATGGCTCGTTATAAGAAAACGCGAGGAAGTAACGCGAGGCGGAGCACCCAAGAAAAAAAGTATTCTATCTGTAAAGTGATTTTTCCCATAGTCTCATACTCTAAGCGAAGCCTCTTATAGGAAAAGGAGATTCCTCCTTCGATTAAAATGAACCATTCATCTAAGGATTTATTAGATGTTATTCTGTTTGCTTCTTACTTCAAGAGGGTTTTCTCTTGTATCAATTAATTTTCCTCTTTTATCGAGAGGAACGCTCGTTTTTCCTCTTCCATCTACTCACACAGAGACACTCTCTCTCTCTCTCTCTCTCTCTCTCTCTCTCTCTCTGTGTGTATATGACTATCGTCGCCACATTTGTTTGTTTTATGGACAATGTCTAGAGCAAAGGAAAAAAAAAAAGACACACTGGCTCATATTTCAGCGTAAGTACATCCATTTATCACAACGCGTTGCACACCACATTAAATGCCATTTAGAATACTTCAAATTACAAATTTATACTTTTTCCTACTTTTTCAGCAGAAAATCGAGGAAAATTTAACCGGAATCTTTTCCGGACAGTTATAAGTAATAATCCTCTTAAAAAAAAGATTAAATAATCTGTATATAAGAGGATATTTATATTAAAGTCAATAAGATTTGCATTATATATATATATAACACATAATTCCTCTAACTTTAAGAATAATGTGCTGATAATATTTTTCTTTTAATTTTAGAGGAATCCTCTTGAGGTCATATATAAAAAAGAATAAAATCCTCTAAGATTTAAATGATTCCTCTTGTTCTGAAATTACTTTTTCCTTGGGTAAGACTTCATGCAAGGCATATTTAGGGAAATATCTACGTCGAGGTAAACGTTTAGGTAAAAATACACACACACACACAGAGATATCTCTGTAAATACAAATGAGCTCGCGTCTCGAATTTTGCACGCTCATTTCAATTTCTACATTTCTTTATTTCTCATCTTCTTTACTCTCTTCTAGTCATCTTCACACATTTGACTTCTGTATTTAAAAAGCAAAAGGAAACGAGATAATTTCAAAGTGACGTCATCGATAAGAAAATAATATATGCGCGACGATGTGAGCGCGTTACTTCGAAGGCGTAGTTTTACTTCTAAGTCTCTCGGCTGCAAAGTACTTGACGAGCGTGCTAAAAGACGGTCGTCACACACACCTCAACGACAGTCAGTTTGACTTTTATCCGTTCTCTTTGTCCTTTCGTTAAATCGACTCGGTCGTTTGCAGTCTCCGGCCAGGAGATGAGAACTTGCCGGCCGGCCGGCTTAATCGCGAAGCGGGACTCGCGAGTTTCGAGCGCAACTTGCCAAATCGTCCGCCAGGATGTAAATAATGTGCGGCTGTCTCGCCGGTGTCGGGCGAGCCGTCGCGAGCAGCAGGATCAAGGATACCCAGCGCGCGACCATCCCCGACGACGACGACGACGACGACGGAGGACGCATCGTGGCCCGCTTCCTCTGGATCGCGTGGCCCACGTGGACAAACCGGTTCCACCCACGAGAATGCGAGACTGACGCAGCGGGGCGCGCGTATGCGCGACGCACGATCGGTTGCACGGAACTGTCTTCTGCTTCGGACTTCTCCTCGGGTCTGTCTTTTTCCGGCCGCGCGTATAGTGGGGCGCGTCTCTCCCACCTTGAGGAATCCTCTTCGTCGCTCTCACCTCTTTCGTCGCGTCCTCGCTTGTCCGCTTGTCAGCTTGATCATTAACTAACGCACTCGCTCGCGATGCCGCGCGCGTTATCCGCGACTGAGAGAAGTGCTCGAGATACGGACGTTTCCCGCGGACGGCTTATCGCCTACGTTGGAACTCGCGCGTCCCGATCGAGTCTCGCCGACGCGGCAGCGCGGATCTGCGGGCAATCATCCGCGCGTTCCTCGTGGCGCCGTTATTGACCGGCGACTTTGGTCAAAAGTCAAACTCGAGGTGCCCGATCTACCACGGGCTGAAATCGCAGGTCGAGGAGGCTTCAATACTGCAGATACTCGTAAATCGCCGCCCGGTGAAACCGTCTTCAATCAGGCGTACCCGAGGACGAAGGCTCGGCCTTCGGTTTCTCGCGCGGCGGCGCAACGCCAGGCGTTCGTTTCATCTTGCAGGAAAACTTGCATTTCACAAGTTCGCGCGTAATTCGCGCGCCGCGATTGCCGCGCCGAGCTGTTGCCGAGCGTACGATGTAACCCCGTAAATTATACCGTCGAGATGCTATCGCGCCCCGTATTGCGTGTCCCGTAATTCAGATAGCGTAACAGTAGGACGCGTAATTATTCCCTCCCCCCTTATCATCTCCCTCCATCGGAAAGGTATAAAAGTGCGAAAGCACGTCGAAGCGCGTCCCCCTCGATCCCCCTCCCCCCCACCCCTGTCGTCGTCTCGCGCCATCGCGCAATCACCGATTGCGAACAATGAAACAACTTCATTCGTCGCCAAGAAGACAACCGCTGCGTGAAAACGTGTAGAGAATGTTGCAAGTTTTTTTATGCTTCGCTGACAAATAAATGAACATGCAGCGATGTAATGCTCTGCTGAGGAACAAGCGTGAACATGCGGTGATAAATTAATCATCATTTCAGGGGGACTGTCGTGAAAAATGTTGGTCTTATTATCGTCATTAAGTAAAGGCGGAGGGTCAGAAGGTTTTCCTCGAGGAAAGAGACAATACCGAAATTTTCGTGCGTTTTTCAGTTTTTCCTCCTGGCGTTCCGTATCCGCGCTGTAAAAGAGACGGAGAAAAATAGGCGATCGAGCGACAATGGGCCGCTAATGTGAAAGTACATCAGATCAGATCGTCGCGCTGTGAAACACACAGTTAAACAGTGCATAACGAGTGAAGTCAAATACCTTTCATCCTGTTCCGTCGCGTTAGAGTCTATTGCCGATGGTTAACCCGTATTACACACACGCGACAAACACCGGCGCGTTCATTTGTCGCGCGTTGAAGAAGAGCGAGACGCGCGTACATTCCTTTTCGATATTACGATCTGACGTAATAATAGCGCGCGCGCGTTATCTTTTAAACGCAAATGGACGAGGCGGTCTGAGTATTTACGACGATAGCAAACGGCAGATTAGAAAACGCGGCTGTCTACGCTTATCTACGAGCGATCGATAAATTACAAGCGGCGAGGAGAACGGCAGGTTTTCACCCCGCGGGAAATAAAATCGTAAGACAGCCCGACGTTTGGCTTTGACGGAACCGCCACGCTCGCCACGGAACTCCGCTCTGTGTGTGCGGGGAACTTTTGATGGAAAAAGTTGGATTTCATCGTCAGGAGGAGGCATTTGGCAACGGCATGTCGAACGGCGTATCTCTCTGTGTTCTCCTCTCGCTGCTAATCGCGAACGTCGCGTCGTCGGAGGAAGAAATCAACTTCCATAACGTGGTCGATGTTACGGTGGGTTGAATGTTGTTGAGAGAGTTATTTAATGTGACGATCGCGATGGCATCTCATGAGTTCGCATGCCATTTAATATGCAGTATAATTGCAGTATAATTTAATATGCGATATAATCAATAACATTTCATGTACCAGGTCTGTAAATATGAAATCGGAATTTGCCCACAGATGGCCCTAGCTGTCAGTGTAGTTACCGTTAAACCGCGTCATTGGCGCCATTTCCATTTGTTCACATCTGACAAAGATTTTCAACTCACAACAATACAAGTATTTCATACAACAGCATAGTTTGTAACAGCGTTGAACATGTCGAATTTTGTGCCTGGAAGCTACGATTTGCGGACAGCATTGATTTTCTACCGCCATTCGAAGAAAACTGCTGCAGAATCGCATCGAATGCTTGTCGAAGCTTACGGTGAGCAGCATGCTCTTGGTAAATCGCAGTGCTTTGAATGGAATTAAAAAAATTCAAACGTGGCGATTTTGACGTGAGAAACGAAGAATGTGGAAGACCACCGAAAAAGTTTGAAGACAGCGAATCGCGAGCATTGTTGGATGAGGATGACGCTCAAACGCAACAACAACTCGCGGATCAATTATAATAAATGTGACACGAGAAGCCGTCTCCGTGCGTTTGCGAAAGCCATTTTGGGAAAGATCCAGAAGATGGGAAAATGGGTTCCACATGAACTGAATGAAAGACAGCAGGAAAACCGAAAAACCACTTGCGAAATGCTGCTCGCCAGGTACAAAAGAAAGTCATTTCTCCATCGAATTGTAACCGGCGATGAAAAGTGGATATATTTTGAGAATCCTAAGCGTAAAAGATCATGGGTAACTCCAGGCGAACCATCGACATCGACTGCAAGGCCTGATCGCTATGGACGGAAGACGGAATGCTCTGTGTTTGGTGGGATCAGAAGGGTGTGCTGCTATTACGAGCTGCTAAAACCTGGCGAAACCGTTCATACTGAACGCTGCCGACAACAAATGATCGATTTGAATCAAGCTTTGCGTCAAAAACGACCAGAATATCAAAGAAAGGCAACACAAAGTGATTTTGCTTCATGATAATGCACCATCACACACAGCAAAACTAGTGGAAGGAAACGATCGAGGCGTTTAGTTGGGAAATACTTTCGCATGCGGCTCACTCGTCAGACTTGGCTCCGTCTGATTACCACTTATTTGCATCGATAGGACACGCACTTGCTGAGCAGCGCTTCACTTCTTACGAAAATCTACGAAAATGGCTCGATGACTGGTTTGCCACAAAAGAGCAACAGTTTTTTTGCCGTGGCATCCACAAATTGTCAGACAGCTGGGAAAAATGTATAGCTAGCGATGGGCGATACTTTGAATAAAATATTTTTTATCATTTTCATATACAATAAACGTGTATTTTCTATACAAAAATTCCGGTTTCATATTTACATACCTGGTATTATTATATTTAATAATATACGTCATGCGTGTGCGTGTATGTGTCATTATGTATTAAGTAATAATATGCTAAATACTAGATAATATATATATATATATACAGGATGGCTCATTTTAATTTATCCACTCAAATATCTCGAAAAGTATAAAAGATACGGAAAAACGTTCCAAACAGAAAAGTTGACATTAATTGGTAGGAAAGATGGTACAATAAAAAATTGGACTTTCCGTGTAAGAGAAGTGACGATCAGTGAATATCTCGAAGGCGTTGCCATCTGTAAACAAAATGATATCGCTGTCTTGTCTATCCCTCTTCGAACCGAATAAACTCTTGTCTAAACTCTCCGTCTAATTTCTCCGTATCTTTTATATTTTTCGAGATACTTGAGTAGACAAATGAAAATACTCTGTATATTTCTCAACGTTCAATCTCCGCGCGATCCGACGAGAAGCGGGCTTCCTTTTAATTAAGGCTGGAAAACAATCACTCGAAGAAGCGTCTCGCTACCGTCTAGAAATCTACACCCGTCGTGTTCTCTCCGTTCAGATTTTGATCCTGAGCAAATGTATGCCGCCGAAAATTTCCGAAGAGACTTTATTGCTAGGCGGGGAATACAACGATTTCCTCAAACGAGCACTCTTCAGTATCAAGCCAGTAGCTCTGATAGCCGAGTCAAAGTACAGCGCTCTCGACAACTTCACTCGGACGAAGTACTCTTACCATCAGTATCTCAGCTATCGCTTCATCCACTTCCTGAGGAAGGTGCACCGTTTCGTGCTGGTGACGTCCTCGCAGCCGCTCCTGCGATCTGTTCTCCAGGTGAGAGAGAAATTCGAGATCTTCCTTTAGCGTTGTCGAGATCGGACGATGTGAACATCAGCAAAACGCGTCGTAGAGAACGAAGGATTCGCCGTGGGCGAACGCGGACGGATTTTACATCCTGATCGACAGGCAAACCGCGACGCGAGGCTGTGTAAACGCCCGCTCGTACCTCCGGGCGGCTTGGGAATACGACTTGCTGTCCGTCGTGTTCATATGCATCGACCCGAGTGATGGGATCGTCTACTACACGTTCAATCCGTATTCAAATCACACGTCGGACGGTTGGCAGCAGGATAGCGTTTACAAAGGACTAAACAACCACACGTGGACAATGTTCAAGAAGAAATTCGCACACGGTACGTAACAAGAAGGGAAAGGGGGAGGGGGAGGGGGGGGGGAGAATTAGCGCGCAGCGCTTGCGATATTCGTCCTCGGTCAAGCTTAGAGCGACTTGAGCCTCGATCGTTGTGTCTTCAGATGAAGACATATGCAAGGACTTGGACTTCGACAGGACGACCAGTCTGAACGGCTACAAGATCCGCTTGAACGCCATTCAGATGGAGCCGTTCTTGATGATCAACCTGACCGAGGACGGCCTGAACAAATTCGCCGGTGACAACAGCGAGGTCATCAAGGTGCTCTTCCGCAAGCTGAAAGCCTCCCTCACCATTGAAGTTTACAACGGCACCACCTACGACCTCGGCGGTATAGGGCCCAATGGCACCCTGTGGGGCATGCTGGCCGCAGTGGGTGACGGAAAGGTGGACATGGGCATGAACACGAGGTCGTTGTTCGTAATGTGGAAGCTCAGGTGCGTCTCCGGCGGAGCGAAGGGAAATCTTATCGGCTAAGCTCCAGTTCCACAAGTTCCACAATTCATTAAATCTTCAAAAGCTTCATCTTCGGATGAAGATAATGTATACACTTTGAAGCCATGTTTTCCAACAAATGTGTCCCTCACCTTTGTAGCATAGATTGTTTTCTCATTATCTTATCGACGCTCACAAGTCATAAGCAATGCTGTACCAACATAGATTCTGAATGGCTGGACGATAGATATCTTCACTTTGAAACTAGTGGCATTGGCGGTACATTAAACTTCGTTCACGCTTCATTGAGAAACGCCCAAAATTAAGGGCGTTTAACTTCAACCTCACAGGAAATAGATGGCAAAATGTGGGAGCCGGCATTTCCTTTAAACTGGGTTCAACAAGTTAAACTCCGTTTAAAGTAAGCTGTGGGACCGAGCTTAGGTGCTCGGACATTTTCACTTCCTTTAGTGCAAGCTTCATTTTAGAGAAAAGAAGCAATAATTAATAATATAATCAGGGATCAGGATGTCTCTCGGTCGGTAGCAACTTCGTAGTAATTAACGAAATGAGCAACCTGTGCGCGCGTCGCACACGAGCCGCGTCATCCCGCAAGATCGACACTTGAGGAGCAACAACAACAACACTTATCACGTATATACAGGTACACGTATCCTCACACAAGATCGGGCCTGTGCGTAATGTCGCAGCCGAAGCAGCAGATCTCGGAGTTCACCAAACTAATAACGTTCCTCCAGCCGCCGGTGATGGCGGGCGTCTTCATCGTTTGCCTGCTCACCTATGCGGTTTTCACGAGGAGCCAGGGATACGCTCGCGCCGCGCTCGAGGTGACGAGGCTCTTGGTCTGCGTGACGATCCTGCACCCGCCGAGGATCAGTTCCGCCCGGATCTTCCTGTGCACGGTGTTCATTCTGTTCCTCAACGTGAACTCCTTGTTTCAAAGTCGCTGGTCGTCCTTGCTCACCGCGCCGGTCTACTACGACACCATCAACAGCTTCGACAGTATCAAGGTACTTTAAGTCGAAATCAAGGTGCGTGCCGATGTGCGCCGATTGTGCTAATTACCAGCCAATTGGCGACCGACTGATCAATTTTGCGATAAGGGGAAATATTTTTTGGGTTACTCGACTCGCGATTCGATTCACGCGATAAATTCATATCTCGATTTCAACGCTCGGATGTGTGACACTTTTAATGAGAAGCATCAACCCTCTTCCCCTCTTCCCTCCCCACACCCTCTCTGTGATCTTTCGCAGGCACACGGATACAAGATATACGGGCCGGGGGCCTTGAAGAATTTCTTCAGTGACAACGTCCTCCAGTCGCGCTACATCACGGTGCCGACGAGCGACGAGTGCAAGAGGTTCGTGAAGAACTCGACGGAGAATGTGTGTACTGGTGATTGCTACCACATGTATCACAAAATCCGGAACGAGGATCTGGCCAAGTCGAGGAACTTGCGCGACACGACGCTTACGTATGTCACCCGCGAGGACTGGCCGTTGTACAGACGAGTGAACAACGCTATCCAGCAGATGGTGGAGAGCGGCTTGGTCAACAAGTTCCGCGCCGACAGCCTCGGGAAGCTCCGGAGAAGAAGACTGATGAGAAGCGCGAGGAAGAAGAACTTCAAGGTGATGCTGCTGTCGCAGCTGGCCTTCAGCTTCTATATCCTCGGTATCGGCTACAGCTGCGCCACTGTGGTCTTCATGATGGAGCTGTTGATCGGTAGATCGCGCGGTAGTCGGAGAGCGAGGAAAACACAAGCGAGAAACAGTCGCAACAAATATTGAAATTGCGAAACTATAGGAATTGGAACTAAAGGTCCGACTCGCAATGGAATGGGACAGGTCAACGGGAAGATTGCTAAAGGGAGCTTCCCAACCACAGTCGATCGCTTTTTCGATTTTTAATACAGTTGTTTGTTCAAACGAACTTTTCCCGGTCGCGGTGTTGTTTCTCGTACGCCTCTTGGATTCTCAGATGGGGACCTTGATTATCAGGTTGATCAGAAAGTCTTTTCGTGCAAACAGGAAGAAGGATTGCTCATCGCGATCACTGTAAGCTTGAAAATTCTGTTCTTGAAAAAGAGCACTGGTCCTGGAATTAAAGAAAAGATTCGACTCTCTCTCTCTCTCTCTCTCTCTCTCTCTCTCTCTCTGGACTAACTCTCTGGACTAAAGTTCGCCGAATCGAATTCTTTTTTTCCGTTAACAAAGTTTTGCAGGGGTCTGAAGGAATGAGAGTAATAATGGGTGCTCGAGAAATTCCCAATTAAGCTCTCCGATTTTTCTCACCGAACGTGAGTGCGCTCACAAGGAGACCTTTTAAGAAGACCTTTCGAATAAACCATGAAATATATAGAAGGTGTGAATCTCTCATCAAGTAAATAGATATAAAATATCTACATGCATAAGAAATACATTCGTTATTGTTCATACATTCGTATGTAATACTATGTAACGTGCGAGAATACAAGCAGAATAGACATTTTGTGAAGAGAATCGGTTTGTGTCGACAATAATTTCACGCCCAAAACTTACATATTTTCCGCCGGGAAAGGCGGCAAAGGAGGCACACTCGCGAAAAGGAGAGGTACGTTTGAAATTATCAAACACATTTCAAACATGCCTGAAACTTTCGTCCTGAACGGCAAGTTTGAGAACGTGCCAACCCAGGCTTGACTTCGGCTCATCGATTGTCTTCCGCGAAGCAGTAACGGGACTCTGCGTAAACCCTCGTGTCCCCTCGGGATTTTCGGCTGCCGTCGACTCGCGCGATAATATGCGGTCACAGCGATTCCGTCGCATTCGTCGAACGAAATATTGGCGCGCTCACGGTAATACAAGTTTCCGCGCGCGGAAGAGCACGAGTGTTCTCGCGACGCACCTGCGTCAACGATCTCCGATTGCTCTTCGGCGACTTTTCAGCGACGGAGCAGCCGAGTCCGTGAAGTCACTTCGATGACATCCGCGCGGTGGGAATTTATCTTCTTCGCAACGGTCGTGAGATGCTCGTACCGATCTTTGATACACACGGCCACCGAGGTCACGGAAAAGGACATTATGCTCGGACGAGTGGTAGAAAAAAAACTTCCGCTTCTCTCTCGCTCGCTCTTCTCTTTCTACAAAGTGCGCCCACAATGGGCGTCAAATCTGGTGATTTACAGGATAAGGTCTTGAGCAGCTGCCTGGCGGACGAGATGAATTACGTCGGCCTGCTGAGAGACACCGAGATCCCTGAGAACTGGTCCTATTCTCTCATGAAAAACACCCCGGCGATCAGGCTGAGGATCCCCGTCTCGAACTTCGATCAACCGTTTCACCCGCCGAGCATGTTCCGCGACAAATTCTCTCGGCACGACAGGCTGCACGCGTTCGTCCTGCTCGTATCGTCTCCGTCGAATCTGAGACGTTTGATCAGGAGACTTATGGGATCGATATGGTGGAATCCCTGGGCGTTTTACGTCATCGTCGACGCGGACGTCGACGCTTGCAGCCGCCGGCAGCCCGAAGCTTATTTATCGATCGCCTGGGACTTGGATCTTGAGTCCAGCGTGTTCTTCTGCGTCGATCCTGGCGACGGATACGCCGTGTTCACTTACAACCGCTATGGAAACCCAGCGCCCAAGACCTGGCGCGCGGTCGAGTCCTCCGTCGACCAAGAGAATCGTACTTGGGACATGCTGAAGCTCAAACTTCAAGGTATGAACGTGTCAGAGTGTAGGGTTGCATAATTCCCTTCTTCGGGAGGGGGGGGATTTCAAGGTGTCGATTCAAGGTCCTCGACATTCCTCGATTGAATCGCGGTTGAGGCGATGTATCGCAGGCAGGATACTTCTCGCATAACGGCGACATAACGGATGATTTTAGACGGGACGACTTGCGAGGATCTGCACTTCGACAAGAGGATTCAACTAGGCGGTTACAGAATCAAGATGCTGGGTATCGTCTCTCCCCCGAACCTCTTCTTCGACTCTCGGAGGAACGGCACGGAAAAGTACGTGGGTCTGAACGGACTCATCCTGAGCACGCTGATCGTCAAAATGAACGCCAGCGCAACGGTGAGGTTACTCCGGAATAAGACCCAGAGTCAATCGTTGCTGCGGAACATGTCGGTCAGCGAGTACGACTTGCTGATGAACGCGCAATACATCTTCGACAAGTCGGCCTACACGATGACCTATCCCCATCTGGAGTCCGGAGTAGGCATGCTCAGCAGGTAAGTCTTGAAAAAGTACGACAGCTCTCTTCGAGAGAAAAAAATATCGCTAGAGAAGACACACAGACGAGACTGATCGAGATTTCCTTTCGTATCTCCCGGATCTGCATCCGATCTGTGTCAGGCTATTCAAAATTTGTCCGAATGAAAAAAAGTAGTCCAGCCTGTCGTCCTCCTCCCGTCCTTTCCGCAGACCAAGCGGCTTCGACTCCAACGAGACGAAGATCCTGAAATTCATGAGCCTGCGGCTGATAGTCTGCATCCTGCTGGTCTCCGCCGTCACCGTGTTCGTCCTCAGCGTATTGGCCGGCCTGGGATTAAGCTCGGCCTGTCTCGAGGTCGTAAGGATCACGGTCAACTCATCCGTCCTGCGGTTCCCTCGACAGGCACCGTTGAGGATCTACCTGCTCACGGTGATCCTCCTGTTCCTGATCACCGGCTCGACCTTCCAGAGCAGCCTGTCATCCATCCTGACCTCGTCCGTGTCGAGACCGGACATCGACAGCAGCGCGGCGCTCAAGCGAGCCGGCTACCTCATCTACACGTACACCGGCTACAGGAACGCGATCCAAGACCCGGTGCTGCAATCGCGCATCAGGGAAACGGACAAGCGGGACTGCAGTAGATACGTCCTCGAGCGGCCTAACACGGTGTGCGTGGCGGATCACTCGAAGCTGATAAGGCTCGCCTTCGAGAAGGACCTGCACGTCTCCAAGCACCGGGTAACTAATCTGTACATGGGCTACGTGACGCGCCCTAATTTCCCGCTGGTCAAGCGGGTCAGCAGGATGCTGATGTCAATGTCCCAGGCCGGGCTGATCGATCTTTGGCAGACGCTGACGGTGGCCGTGTACAAGAAGCAATGGGCGGTGAAGGCGCAGGAGATGAAGACGAAGCGATATCGCCCGATGAACACGGCCGACTTGCTGTTCGCTTTTTACATATTGCTGTTCGGCCTTGGTGCCTCCGTCGTCGCGTTCCTGGCGGAGCTGGCGTCGCTCGCGCGCTCGACGAAATAACGAACGGGGCAGTTGCTGAGGCGAAGCGGCGCGAAACGGACAATCTTGCGTAATGGAGGATATGAGAGATGCGAAATACGACCGTCATCGTCGTCTACTCGCGAAATCTCCACCCACGTATCTTCGTCGCGCGACTCTTTCGTTCCGTTTGATCTTCCCGTTGATCGGTGAAGCCTCATCGATTCAAATCGCTTGTATCTCCTCCGTTGCGATCTACCCTATCTTATCTGCTCGCGCACTTTGGACAAGATGCGACAACGTGGGCGGAGAGGGCGAGTGTGTGTTGGTGTGTGTCGGCAGAGAGAAACAGGCGACTGTAAATTTGGTCAATATTTTATTTATTCCATCATTTTAGTTTAAACAATTTGTTCATTCGGGGGACTCCACGGTAAAGCCCCGTAAAATGAATATGATATAGTAAATAGGTTCCTTTTTACAATTTATATATCATGTACACAATAATAATATAACGTAATATAATATAATATAACGCAATATAGTGTATAATGTATAATATAATAATAATAATAATAATAATAATAATAATAATAATAATAATAATCAATAAGAATAGTAAACATAATGTAGTAGCAGTAGTCGAAAATAATTATTAATAATTAGAATAATAGCAGTAATGAGAGCCTAAGGCGCAAAACATAAACAAAAATATAGAGTACACGTTATATGGTGACACGCCGTCCTCATTAAACGACGGCATTTTTATCTATGTATGTACGCATTTACAGACCGTATCAACTGCTTATACATCATTTTTTCCAACATCCTTGTCTCTTTAATTTATTAATTTTAGTAAAGGCTCTCTCTTGCTCTCTCTCTCTCTCTCTCTCTCTCTCTCGCTCTCTCTCTCTCTCTCTCTCTCTCTCTCGCTCTCGCTCGTTCGCTCGCTCTCAATCCGTTTAAGCTGAGATTACTATAAAATAGGTAAAAAAGCCTTGTTTCACAAAATATCTCGCAAATATATAGATATATATATATGTATATGTATATATGTATATATTGTCACGGTCTTTCTTTTTCCACGTGTTATCTCTTCCCAGTCGCCGCTGCTGCGCGTCTCACATGGTTCGCTTTTTACCGACTTCTACTTCGTCCTCGTCGTCCACATGCAGGTGGTAGTATAATAGCGGTAGTGCAACAGTAGAGTAGTTTCATATAGTCTCGTCGAGCTACGAGCTGACTCGTCGAGAAAGTATATTTCGCGGCGCGCTCCGAACGGACAAAGCAGAGTGGAGCAGACGCGCGATGAAAGACACGAGATCCGATCAGACGCGCGAGCGGAGCAAAACGAAGAGGAGAAGCCGAAGCTCTCGACGGCAACGGTACGAGAACAAAAGAAAAGCCGGAAGTATTTCGGAAGGGAAGGAGGGGGGGGTGGTGGTGGTGGTGGTGGTGGTGGCGGGAAAGAACGAAAAAAAAAGAAAGAGCACGACCACTCGTCATCTCGATGACGTGGATTCTCGCATTTTTCTTTTCCTGACATAATTTATTTACAATTACAAGTTGTACGGCGCGGCGTGTGTCTGACAAGGCGAGTAACGAGAGGAGATCTCGCGTTGCTATCGATCACTCGATGCGCGCAGAGTGACGCGTCCGGGGTCGTCGCGAGATGAAATATCGCCGCGAGTCGCCCCACGCGCGTTGGCCGCGCGTAAACTTTTTGTACTCTTCCTTCCCCTCTCGCTACGCCGCCGGCGAAAGCGCGCCCTGACGACGCGACTGGTGATCCGTGATCAAGCCGTGAAGAGGAAGTCCTCCCCGTTCCTGTTCTTCGCCACGACGGGCAGTGCGAAAAAAAAGCGCTGACCGGTCTCTCTCGCGACACGTGTCGTGTCGTTCGCGAGCTTCCGGCCAGCGAACAAAATAAAAAGAAGAAGAAAATAGCAACGTCAACAAAAGGTCGACGGATGACTTCCTCCTCCGCCAATGATCGACCTCCATCGCGTTTCCGGAACGGAAAGGAAGAGAAAGTCAACGCAGAGGAGAGGGGTGTGTAACGCACGCGAGAGAAAAAAGGATCCCGATACAGCCGATACCTTCTGCTTTATTGAGCCGCTCGATTCGCCGCAACAAGAGAGTTTAAGTAACAATCGAAAGGTCCTCCGAGCAATTTTGCCGCTCTTTGCGTCGCTGGTGTCAGGATGCTTCGCGGATGGGTCAGCGATGAGACTCTGTGCGTGCGCGCGCTCGTTTGCGTCCGCAATTACTCCCAGTGATGTAATCTCTCCCCGTCTCCCCCCGTCTCTCAACCCGGAAATTACGCGTGCCGGTGTAATGCGTGTGCTAAATATCTGTCCTGTATGTGTGTGTGTGTGTGTGTGTGTGTGTATCCGCGCGCGGATACGTCCGTGTGCATGCCGCGTGTCGGCCTCCGCGCCAATAAATACGATAACTAATTAATTAAGAATAAAAATAAATAGAAAGCAAGCAGGTAATTACGCGTATCTCATTAAGCTTGAGTTTGGTCTCTCCTTGGTGCGGTTGCCATTCACGTGTTCTCCACGCAACACACTCTCTCCTGCCTCGCCGTGTTCCTCCGCGATTAGCCCTGCCTATTCCTTCGCTCATTCCCGTCTATCCTTCCTGCCATCTATCGCCTGCCCGTCAGTCCGTCGCTAAATGATTCGTTAAGTAGGTCCGGTGAACGTGTAATTAGTCGATGTAACGTGTGTACATGTGTGTGTCTGTGTGTACCTAATATACCTCAGCACGTGTACCGCGTGGTCGCGTAATGCCAATCAGAGACGGCCGCCTGTACATATTGCTTGCTCGGCATCGGCGATATACTCTGCGTGTCACGAAGGGAGGGTAGATTCTCGGAACACGCCGCCGTCTATCGCCGCGATCGCTCCCGCGTAATCGCACACACCGTTAAACGCGGAACGCAGGAGAACACCGAAAGAGGACGTAAAACCGCCGGGAAACGATGGCTCTCTCGCGCGGCGCCGGTGGTGGTGGCGTATGTCCACGTCGACGATCCGATCGAGCCGACAACGAGCGCGGTTTGGAAGCCTAGCTGGAGGTGACGCGAATCGCGCCCTAATTCTACCCCCATACGACAAGTGAACAGGGGAAGGCGGGGAAGGAGGTGTCTATCCTCGCGGTCGTGCGCGTTTGGACGCGTTCGTCCGAATACGATCGATCGAGTTTCGCTCGTGCTTCACGAGCTTCTCGCCGATCTTCGGGGCGCCGCCGTTAAACCAGCCCGTCCGTTTCGTCGCGCCTCGCAGCCGACACGGCGCGTCCGCTCGAAGAAAACTGTCGCTCGGTCGTCTCTGACGAATTCCCGGGGGGGGGGGGGGAGGAGGGAAGATGCAGCACCTCGCGTGTCCTCCTCTCCGCGCTCGCAGCGGGGATACTTTGCGGCCAGAAGAAAAAAGAAGACGTTTCGGAACGTCGACCGGGAAGTTTCGGAGCGTCCTCGAGGAACGACTCCGGAGAATTTGGCTGATAACAAGGCGATGACGGGTGACGGGCTCTAAGATGCTTCAGCCGTGAAGATTGATTTTCCCTGAAACCGAGCGGTAAATCGCGTCGCGATGGCTGGCCCCCCCCCCCTCCCCTCCCCCCAAGCGGCGGTCACTCTTTTGGCACAATCGCGATGAACGGGGAAGTTTAGCAGCGGCTGGTTCGTGGCCGAGGACAAGATAGTGATACACAATACACGCCCGTACGCGCGCGAATATAGTAAAATAAGTGTCGTATAATCATACATCGCGTGCAATAATATTAATTATATAATTATAATAATATATGATATAATCGTTAAATTAAGGTTGCGTGTGTATGCTTGGTTTCTTTAATATATATATATATATATATACACATATATATAAATATATATATATATATATATATGTATGTATATACAGGCTATTGTATCGTGTGTGTACGTGTGTGTGTGTGTGTGTGTGTATATGTATATATAAATTAATATATACATATATAAATATTTTATACAAGTACAAATTGGTGTCGGGTTAAGAAGACCAAATAAAACTGCGCTAACTAAATCCCTCCGAGGTCTTGCACCGAGAGACGCACGCGCATCCGCATTGTGCAACCGCGTTTCGCCCGCTTGTGAATTCGCACCTCATGTGGGTCGCGGTATTAGGAATAATGTACGGTTCGTGTAACGCACGGCAGGAGACCCAGGCTCTCGGCACGACACGGAGAGATAAACGCGAAGTGATCGCGAGCAAGTCGCTCGCTCTCCCCGAAAACGGACGGGGTGTTCGATTCAATGCACGCGCGAGAAGTTTCCGCTCTCGAAAGTTTATACGTGTGTCGTATCATCTCCTTCGGCTATTTCCCCCATCTATCCGTGCCGTAGAACCGCATTGCGTCCCCCCCCCACCCTCCCACTCCTCCCTCTCAGTCACGAGCCGCTGAGTCTGAGACACCTGACGTACGCCGGCTTGTGTCGCTTTTCTTCTCCGCGTAGCGCTTCAACCTCTCGCTCTTGCATTCTCTCTCTCTCTCTCTCTCTCTCTCTCTCTCTCTCTCTCTCTCTCTCTCTCTCTCTCTCTCTCTCATTCACATAAATACAACATTCGCAAAAAAGAAAATGAAAACAATAACGATATAGTCACTATCCGTAACGTAATAAGTATTGATTACAAGGTATCTCTCGCGCCGAAAGCGGAACATCTCACCCTTGTGTTTTGCGGATTCTCTCATCGATATACGAATAGCAACATCGTTACTGTTATTATTATCACTATAGTTATTATTATATCCTTACGTTATTATTATTACTATTATTATTATTATTATCGTTAATATTATTACTACCGATTGTAACCGCTATCGTCTTCCTTATCTGTATAGTATCATCACTGATAACAATAACAGTAACGACATCAGTAATAACATGATAGTACAATATAGCGAAGTGAGTCGCGCGACGCCAGCTTCTCGCGTTCGCAATCACCCGCGACGTGGTGTGGTGTCGTAAAACAAAGGAGAGAAAAAAATAATAGTAATAATAGACAGGAAAACCAAACTAGATGCGAGAAATGAATCGGAAAGGGGCGAACGCTTCCTGATCAAAACCCGCGCACCAGCGGTACTCTTCTTCGCTTTATCTTTGGAGGTTGTACAGGAACATAGATTAGCTCAAAAGAAGACGCTCTATGCCGTATCACCGAAGAGAAAAACAAAAGTATCAGCCGAAAGGAAAAGGAGAAGATCTAGCTATATGTACAGTCGTCAATCTTCATCACTCGCACATCGTCTCCTCTTTCGATCCAACCGTAACATAAATCTCCTCGCACGCGGTATCTCCTTTTCTCGATAAACTTCGCCAATTTGCAATTTTGAGTTTCGTCGAATTCCGTTTCCGTCGTCGCGGATTCGCGCGGTCTGGCGGGAAAAGGGGCCTGATATATGTATCTGCTATAAATAGTGTCTCGAAAATATCGAAGCTCCTTAATAGACATCTCTCTCTCTCTCTCTCTCTCTCTCTCTGCCCCTCCCTCCCTCTCGTTCTCCCATTTTCTTTTTTATTTTTACTTTTTTACTTTTAGTCTCCCTCTCTCTTCCTCTCCCCATCCTCCTTTTATATCCTTTAGCACTCGCGAAATATAAAATTGTATCCCGTGAACCATTGGACCGCGCTTAGTAACTATATGGGCCGTCGTCATCCCGCCAATCCGCTTACGACCGCTTGCGCATTTTTTTGCTTCTCGTTTTTCCTCCCTTATCTCAAGGTCGTTACGTCAGAACAATGTTTTAGCAACGAGACAGCAGTAGCACGAAAGTGTGTGTTTGTTTGCTGCTGCCGCAGCAATTGTAATAATTGGTCCTACGCCCTCGGAGAATCGCTCCTCGATCGTTCTCCGATCTAACCGGACGATGCTTATCCATCTTGTAGAAAGAGTCAAACTCCTCGAGTCGGATATGTTATAAGTTATGCGCGATCGCGTTTCCGATCGGTCTACTTGATTCAAGGATCCTCAGGATTCGCGCGTGGAATTTTTCAGAATTACATTTACGTCGAACAGACTTTCTTCTTCTTCGTCGTCGTCGATTCATCGCGAGAAGTCTCATCGTTTTTTTTTTTTTTTTTTTTTATCGAGAAAAGTAAATCGCCGATTGCCATTTCTGTTTTCGCACTGATCGCGATTCCACTCCCGACCGAACGTGGGGAAGAGAGATGCGTCCGAGAGATGATTCGCAAGTCCGAGTCGCAAAAAGTCGAACGATGGAACTGCCGTGACACAACACACGCGCTCGTCGGGATCTTCGACGCGCGCTTTCGCTCGTGCGATAATATTTTCAGAAGCGATCGTGAGAACGGGAACGCGGATCAAGAGCACGCCCGAGTGACGCGAATGCGTTCGCACGCGCGAACGGAACAGAGAGCGCGGAGAGTAAACAACATCCTTTCTTCCCTCGGAGAAAACTTTCGAAAATCAAGTCATCGGCGAATCGTCGTCGTCGTCGTCGTGTGTTCGTTCGTCGCAGTAACGCGGTACATTTTCCTCACGTCCTGCTCGTTTCCTTCTGTTTCGCGTATAATCTCACGTCAGACGTTTCCCGATTTCCGATAAGATCTGTGGTAGCAAAAATTGGGGCGGGTCCGTCCACCGTAAATTGCAACAACAGCGGACCGCCCTCAAGACGGCGGCACTCACAAATACCTATTTACAAAAATATACATATGAGCAACTTGCTTTATCCGTCACGCGCTTCCTATCGTCCCACGCCTGCGCGTACAAGAGAGCGTCCGCCACCTCGACACGCTCTTTTTCGTCACCGGTGTTTTTCTTTCGCTTTCTGTTTTTTTTTTTTTTCTTTATTCTTCCCACCCTTTACGCTTCCGTTTAGTTTCTCGTTAAATCATCCTATGTATACATGTATGCTCTATGTCTGGTTTATTTATTTATTTATTTATTTATTTATTTATTTATTTATTCTTTACTTCGCATCACTAGAACCTCTACTTATTCCCCGGTTAATTCTAGGTAATGTAAATAATGTGTACTTGGTTGCGTCTGTTACTGCTTTTTTCTCGGTTGCATTATTAATTAGTCACTAGTCTAAATTACTCCTCCCCGTGTGTGGTCTCTCTATCTACAGAAAAAGAAAAAAAAAAAAAGAGAGAAAATAAAAAAGAGAAAAGAGTCGTGTCCTTCGCACGCAAACGTTTAGAAGAGATGTGTAACTCTATGGTGCGTCGCTCAATCTCTGTGTGTTGATCTTATTGCTCGCGCATCCCCTCCATCGAAAGCACTCTCTAATTGCCCATACCCCCGCGTCTCCCCCAACCGCTGCTTACTCGCGGCATTTGCTCGCGAATGTTTTTTCATGTCGTGCAAACGCGTCTGCTTCCCGTATTACCGAATGCACGGCGCCGGCGCGCGGGATGAACTACTTTTTCTTCCTGCTCATCTCATCAAATATATTCTTATCTTTATATTTTTTATATATAACTATGTATATATTTATATAGATAATAAACTATAATATAATATATTAAATATGTATTTTTTTCTTGCGTATTCGTCGCACTCGAATCGTCGAAACGAGACTCATGCTTCAGGTAACGTCGGCTGTGGCGCACCGTGAAGCGAGAACACACGGGCGTCAGTGGCACTTCTACTACCCCTTCGTGATTTCCTCACTTTTCTCTCTCTCTCTCTCTCTCTCTCTCTCTCTCACACACACCTTCTCCCTCCCCCTGCTATATCCTCTCATTCCCCTTCTTCCTATCCCCTCTCCCTTCTCCATCTCAGTTTTGTTGCTTCTTTGTTCACATACTCAACTTCGTCGTCTTTCGCCTTGCGAATCGATATCTACATGCGGTTTAACTTACAAAAGCAGACATTTCATAAAAATAGAGACAAATCATCGGTGTAGCTCGTCGCTAAATCTAACGCGCGCAAGATACGCGCGCGCATCGCTCGCATACACCTCGACATCTCGCCCCGCCTCGCAGAGGAGGTGGTGGTACCGACGATTCTTCACTGCCTCGAGAGTAAGTAACACGTGCTCTAAACAAAGTGCACGAGGTTCGTTTCTATGCACCGTGGGGGTATAAGATCAGCGAATTCCGCCAGCCGCTTCCCTCCCCTCGGCCCCTTCAGGCACGCGCTTTGCAATTGACTAATATAACTTGATGCTAAATTTATCTCAAAAAATGCCCCGACGTCATCCGAATCTTCCGTCCAAGAAAGACTTCGCGAATTGCTTCTCTCCTCTGCCGCCTTTTCCGCCGCTTCTCCTTACATCGTCCTATGGTGACCCTCGATTATCGATTCGTCGCACCCCCGAGACCACGCTTCTCTCTAAGCTCTCTGAGAGAAAGAAAGAGCGGCCCGTGACTTGGCTACATCACCGTTACAACACTCCTTCCCGACTCTCGCGCGTCTCCCGTATACTCCCGCGGTCGCTTGTTCGTTGCCGTTGTTGATGATGATCGTCATAACGTCGCGCAACTACGTGAACATGGTCGGGTAAGTGACCATGTTTTGTGGAAGAGCGGTAATGTAGTTCGGGGTGGGTGGTCGGGGGCTGTGCCACTGTGGTCAGAGAGCTCGTAACTTCTTTATACCGGCTTGAACGTAACGCACGAGATCGCGCAACGAGCTCTTCAACGTTAAGGGTCCCAGCTTCTCGTCCAGCTCGATAAAGAAATCTGCAAGCACGGAGAAGGGAGGGATGAGGGATCATGTCAAGATTGAGATCGCGCGACGTGCGCTCGTCTTTTTCTCTCTCTCTCTCTCTCTTGTTCACACGTACCTCTATGATTATCCGTAACCATGGCGTTTGCCTGGTCCCACAGGTCGTGACAGTTTATCAGAAAACTGAAGTGATGACTCTGCTTTGCCATCGCGGTATGAACGGGCACTGGCACGCTGATGAACGGGACTGGCTGATTCTGCGACTGACCCTGATGATTCGGTGGTAACTGGATTTGAGGATTCAGCAACGGATTCTGATGATTTGGCGCCTGATTCTGCTGCTGATTATTCTTCAGTTCGCCGCTGCTGTATCCGGAGCTTTGGCTGCCGACGGACCCTACGGAACCAGCAGGCGATGGCGTAGGCGACAAAGAGGGGGTCGCCTGTCCCTCTTGCTGCAATCCCTGCGGCGTCTGAGCCGATTGCGGCACCTAGAAAGAGAGGAAAAAGAAAAGATAGCGCAACGTGAATAATTTTTCGTCGACGTTACGAGAACGTTACTTCGCCGTTGTTGCGAAGAAGATAATCGTGACCGCGCGACGGCGCGAAGTCTCGCCGCTTTGATCTTCGCCGCGGTAGTTCGCGAATCTCGGTGTAATTAGCCGTGGGTTCGCTCACCTTTTGATGGTACTCGTTGATTATCTTTTGGTACTCCTTCATGTCTTGTTTGCGCATCTTGAAGAGTTTCAAGTATATGAGGGACTGGCACCAGAGACTGTAAAAGAAACAAGTAGGAATCGTGAGTTTAGTTGAGACACGAGCCGCTCGTGCACGCCGAGCGTTGTTACCGACGTACATTCGGAGGACCCTCGAGGAAGAGGGTACACTCACCTCAGGATGGCCAACTTGTTGTGTATACTGTTCTCAGTCGAGTCGTTCGGCTGGCTCTTGAACTTCGACGAGATGTATCTACGGGACAGAGGAAAAATCGGAGAAGATCAGTTTAATTACTCATTCTCCCTCTCTCCTCTTGTCGCTTTGGTGCGTGCGCTTAATTGGAGATGTACTCACTTGATAAGACTAAGAGTATCCTTGTACATGGTGAAGGACGCTCTCTCTGTGACAGGGTCCGACTCCATGGCGTGGCCAGTCAGCAGAAAGTATAGAACAGCCTCCAGGTACAACATACCCTGGGCCGTAAGCTCGCACTCCTCGTCGGCGCTGTGCTTTAGTCGTTTAGCTTCGGTCAGGTACTGGTTCTGGTCCCTGAAACACAAATCGTACATATTCTACTGTGGCAATGGAAGTGTGCTCACAATTCAAGTTACACACTTGAACCAATTTGAATTTGAGCTTAAATCCCAACCGCGATTAAGTGCTCCTCCAACTATCTGAAGTTTTATATAAACTAGAATGTCCGAAACAAAGCGTTTCCTATATCTTTTTTCACAGAAAAAACTTGTGGCATTCAAGTGGAATTTGTCGAGAGTAAGTTAAAATTATTGTTTTGTTTTACGAATGTTATTACAATACGCATTTGCCATTTTGAAAATTCAACCTGGAGCCGTTGAAAATATCTTTTATTTATATGTGTAAAACAAAAAGAAATCAAATGTTATCATTCGTTGGAATTTTGAAGATATACTTTGGAGAAATTTTCTCACCAGATTGAGGAGGTTTTAAGAAAATGCAAATCAAAATTCTTCAAGAGCTGTAAAATTCTACCAACGCTAAAATATCCCTTTAAAAATACACAAAAGCTCACCTCTCCTGGTCCTCCAAAACTTCGTTCTGCGGATTGAAGTAAGAATAGTAGATGCGCTGCAGCGGCGGCGGTGGTGGCAACAAGCTCGTGTTTAGTTTCTCGTCCCTTTCGTGGTTCGTCGGCTGAATATCACTCTGCTGAACAATCAAATAAAATCAGATTTCGCAAAATTGACTACTACCTCCATCATAACAGCGGCGGCGACACGAAATTGTAGAAAAAGAAACAAATAAATAAAACTTGCAATTCTGATACATCTAAGAAACTTCAAGATATCCGAAACACGTCAAAAGGGAGAGTTGGAGAAATGCCCCCCTCCCCGTATCAAAGTTCTGCCCAAGATTCATACCTGACTCGACGAAGATCTGGACGGCAGGCCGTCCTTCTCAGGATGCTCCCTTTTTCTCCTCTTCCTGTCACGCTCAGACGAGCCTTTCGCTTTCGCGTTCAAACATACAGTACTTAAACTCGCCATAGGAGCACAACTCGGACTATGTTTTCTCTTGAGCGCGTTATCACCAATACTGGCACCACTAGCACCACCAGCACCACCGAGCATAGCACCGCCGCTCTTCGAGTCCGACGACATCATCTCGGTCGCGATCACAGTACGAGTCCTGACATCACCGTCGCCCAGTAGCCCATCGGTGTGATGGATAACTTGCTGGGGTGGCGACGTGTCGACGATCTCACCCTCCTCCGGCGTGGGCGGCCTCGCTTGCGTCGCCAAGTTGGAAGGCTGCCTCGAGGACGGCCTGGTGTCGGGGAGTTCGGTGCGCTGCCTGAGCTCCTGACCCCTCGACAATTGCGACACGCAGTTGTGCGGTAATTTGTTGAGATCGATTTTGCACATCAGTCGCGGCACACCGTTCACGCCGTAAGTGAGCGGCGGGAACGAGTGTACGGCGCTGCCGGACGACGTGCGCGACGACGGCCTCTTGTACGGGCTGTCGCCGCCGGTCGGCGTGTTCACCGAGCTGGTGTACTCCTCCACGTAGATGCCGCATTTACCACCGCCCTTACCGCCTTTCCCACCCTTACCGCCACCTTTACCGCCGCCCTTCGACGACGAGAAGAGCTTACGCAGCGTGTCGCTCTTCTTCTTGTCCTGTACGTTACCAGCGTCCTCCTCCTGTAGCTTGGCAGCGTGACTGTTGTCGCTGTCTGAGTTATCCAGCGACGTCGCTCTGGTGAGAGGCGCTCGAGGCCTGGGTGGTACTCTAATATATATAATGCCTCATCTGTTTTTTCGTATATAATTTGTGTATTACGTATTACGTATTATATATTAGGTAAATCGGAAAGTTCCGTCCATCTAGCGGCAAGTAGCTATAGCTAGAACTGTCGTTAACCTCTAATGTCTAAACGAAGCTTAATGGTTTCTTTTGACATCTGTCAATAACATTCAGTACATAAAGGTATTGTTTTTTGCTGCATCGAAAATGTCGAAATTTGATGCCAAATAAGCGCGTCATTTGCGCGAAGTGTTAATTTTTCTTTTTTTGCTTCAATTGGAAGGAAACTGCAGCTGAAGCTCATCGAATACTCGTAGGAGTTTGATGACGATAATGTTCCTTTCCGATAAAACATGCAGAGAATGGTTTCGACGCTTTAAAAGTGGTGGATTTTGATGATTTGAAAGGACAAAGGAGCCTTCTGGACGGCCAAGAGTATTCGAAAACGAAGAATTGCAAGCACTGGTGGACGAAGACCCGTGTCAAACGCAAAAGTAACTTGCTGCAGAAGCATTAAATTGCGCTCAATCTGTCATTTCCAATCGTTTGGAAGCCTTAGGAAAGCCTTAGAAAGGTTTGCAAGGTTAAGAAAGAAAAATGGGTCCCATACTGAACTGAAGCCAAGAGACATTGAAAGGTGAAAAAGCACCTGCGAAATTCTGCTTGCTAGGCAACAAAGAAAGGGGTTTCTACGTCGTATCATCACTGGGGATGAAAAATGGATTTATTTTGACAACCCCAACCTCTCGAAAAACTATTTGCGATCCCGGCCAACCCTCAACATCGACGTCAAAGCGGAATATCCACAGAAAGAAAGCAATGTTCTGTATTTGGTATGATTAGCAGGGTGTGGTGCTGTACCACGAGCTGTTGAAAAGTGGTCAAACAGTCACAGGGGATCTCTACGGAGAACAAATGATCCGTTTGAGCTGAGCATTGCACGAAAAACGACTAGAATCTGAAACGAGACAGCATAAGGTGATTTTGCTTCATGACAACACTCGGCCTCACGTCACAAAATCTCAGTCAAGGAAACGTTAGAGGCACTTTGCTGGGTTAGTGTGTGTTACCCCATGCGGCTTATTCACCAGACTGTGCCTCTTCCGACCTCTACCACCTGTTTCGGTCGATGGCACACGCACTTGCTGACGAATGCTTCAATTCTTACGAAGACGTCGAAAAATGGGTCTCTGACTGGATTGCCTCCAAAGACGAGTCATTCTTTCGCCGCGGAATTCGCTCGCTGGCCGAAAGATGAAAAAACGTCATAGCTAACGATGGACAATATTTTGATTGATGTTTCTAATATTTTTCATTTTGTTTCTTAAATAAAGCCATACGTTTTGCAAAAGAACGGACGGAACTTTCCGATTTACCTGATATACATGTACGTAATAAGTTTACATATATACGCGATTCTATATTTCGTCGTGTCATCTCACATCTTACTCATCGAAATAAGGAATCGAAATATAAAGGAATAAGATCGCGATGGCTATCACACGTCGTGAATGATAACCACCGTGGCGAGAAAAGCTTACCTAGCGACCTGGATGCGGTTACTCCTCGTGGACATCTCGGACTCGCTCTCGGATTCCGAGTCACCGTTGTTCATCCTGGACCTTGGTCTCCTCGGCTTGGCCTTGGTCGCCGAGCTCTTCCTCTTGTCCTGCTTCTTCGGTGAATCCGTCAGCTTGTTCCTCTTGACGGCGACTCCTCTCCACCGCGCGGATTCGTTCTCGGAGGCACTATTGTTTTTCCTGTTCGACGTGCTGTCGTCGTCGCTGGACGACACGCTCAGTGTGTTTCTCTTGGACGCTACCGCAACCGACACGTTGTTGGACTGATGATCGCTGATGGAACCGCTGGACACACCCTGCGACCTCGAGTCACTGTCGCTGTCGTCGCTCGTGGGTAACATCGCCTTTGACTTGGGCTGCTTCTTCTTCACGGAATTGTTGTTGTTGTTGTTGTTGTTGTTGTTGTTGTTGTTGACAACTCTCGTCCTGCTACGCGATTTACTCCCTTTGAGGTTTTCATCCGACGGGCGCTCATTGCGCTTCGGGCTCTTGACGGATTTCCTCGGCCGACCGCGTTTCTTGTTATCGGCGACCTTGGTCGTCGTCTTCTCCGCCTGCGATCGATTGCCCTCGGACAGCTGACTCTTGCCCTGATCGGACTGATGGTCGCTGTCGCTCAGGAGGCTTATCATCGTCGCGTTGTGAGTTCTCTTTAAGGCCTCGTCTAATTTCCAGTCGTGGGGTTGTTCTCTGTGCGACCTGGTCTCCTTCGTTACTTCAGAGGTATCTTCTCGCCTGACGTTATCCTGCAAAGGAAGCGAATGAATGCTGAAAAATCATCGAAGGAGGATTCTGACCCTTTCCGGACCCTTCGCGATTTCCGGATCTTGAAAACGTCACAAGCGTCCCCCGTCCTTCTGACCGGCCCCACAGCCTTACCTGAACGGGTTTAGTCTCAGGATTCTGTTCTCCGTGCTGCACCGCCGCAGTCTTGTTGAAGAAGGAACTCAGGTCCCAACGGCGCTTCGACTCCTCCATCGCGGGCGGCGGTTCCTCCACGATATTATCCAGCTTCGGCGACACCGACGGTGGCGTCGACGGCCCTTTAGCAGGCTGCGTCGCCGACCTGTCGTCGTCATCGGAATCGTCGCTGCTGTCCGAGCCGGACTCCGAACCCGAGTCCGAACTCGAGCTGGCGCTTCCGGAACTCGGCGGCGCTTGACCGGGAGGACTGGGTGGCCTCTGCTGATGGTGGCTCGCTAGGTTCGCCGGCGGCGAGCATTTGGGCGGCAGCACTTCGACCACCGGTGAGGACAGCGTTCCTTCCGGAATCGCCGTCGCCGTCGCCGTCGCCGTCGCTGTTGCCGTCGCCGTCGCCGTCACCTGCTTCGGCGGCGACAGATACAGGTGCGGGCTCAGCACCGTCTGTGCCGGTGACATACGCATGGGTGATATGCCCATGGGCGACATGGGCGCCACGGGAGGCGGCGCCGGTGCCATCGCCAGCATCACCGGCGTTGCTAGTCTACAGGAATAGAAATCGAACGTTTGCACAACACACAAAGACGATGCGAGGGACGAGCAAGGTGGAATTCGAGCGCACTGGGAGCGATAATCGATCTCTCTTAATCTCGTCGGCGCGCGGTGCCGACGATTGTTGTTTCCACTCTCTTACGCGAGAGATTAGAAAAATGTCGAGATAAACGTATGTACGACTGTACATGCGCGCGAATGAAAATTGTCACGATCGCAGCCACAGTGTGTTGAGATCGGGATCGTTGATTCAAGTCAGTCGATTATAAGTCAGCTGATCGCTAATTTTCATAAACGTCGAGGGTAACGGAGAGAAGAAAGAAGAAATATATATACGGACGCTCGCGTGACACACGCGAGCAATGCCGATCGATCACTTACTTGACCGAAAGCTGCTCCGGACTCCTGTTTTCTCTCGCCGCTCTCGTCGATATTTCCTGGGAACAAGCAAGGAGAGGGACCGCTATCAGTGATTTCGCCGTGAAGAAACGAAGTGGAACGGCGGCGAGTCGTCGTTCTTGCCGCGGCTCGCTCTTTTGTTTTTTCTTTTCTTTTTTTTTTGCATCGGACGCGCGGCTCGCGATCGTATTGATTGATTTGCGAAAACGCAATCTGCGAAAACTGCAATCTGCGGCGCCCGCGACGCAAGAAACGCAACCGAGGACGAACTGCCGAAGACGAGAGCGCGAATTCTCTCTCCGGTCGATTCTTAGCCGGGAACGGTAATTTGGCGAAGTTCGCCGTTCCGCCGTCTTATTATAACACCTAATGACCGGTAACGCGAGATCGAGAGAGAATCCGCGCTCGGTTTGATAATTGAATGCGTAACAACCGGCGAGGCGACAAGAAACTCAAGGCGAATTATTACCTTGTCGTCATCTTCGCTGTCCTCGGACAGGCTCAAGTCCTTCTCGAGACCACTGCAACAAAGAAAGAAAAGCAAACTCGTTACTCGATCGGAACGGGACGCATCGAGTCGCGTGATTCGCCGCGGCTCCGCTAAAGTGGGATCTGTATCCGTGTGCTTAATCGCGATCCCTCTGAAATCACTGCCAAGCGCCACTCGGCGAATGGCGAAAAGTCCGCGAGACGCAGCCGCGCGCGCGCGCGATGATTTTCAACAAAGCGACGGCGGTGGCGGCGACGAACGGGGGGAGGGGGATAATTCGATATCAAGAGCGAAGCGCACTCGATTAGAATCGAGACGGAGTCGAGAGAGATGCGCGCGAAGAATACACGCTACTGCAACCTGTGGAGCACCGCGTATTAAGGAACAATCGTTCATTGATCCTTAGAACGCGCCGTTCTCCGCTCGGCGACGCAACCGCGCGCCGCGCCGCGCCTCGCCGTCCCTTGTCTCCCGTTTATTAGGGTCTCTCTCTCTCTCTCTCTCTCTCTCTCTCTCTCTCTCTCTCTCTCTCTCTCTCTCTCTCTCTCTCTCTCTCTCTATCTCTCTCTCTCTATCTCTCTCTGTTCGCGCTTTCTCTGCCGCCGCGCTTGCCGTTCTGCTCTGTTCGCCGAAAGGCGTGAGAGGAACGTGATTAGAGGAGAGATGGATTCAAAGGGGGGAATTTCAAGGGGAGAATTCGGGGTGAGATTCTAGAGACGGCCGACGGCGTGTCCGGCGCGAGATCGACGACCGAACGTCGGAATTTCACTTCGCGCTCGGACGAACGTGATAAAAAGCCGAAATATTTGCATTAATACGCCCCCCGCAAACAGTTTCCGCATTGGATTTTCATATTCCAAATTATCGAGTTAATTGAACGGCGGAAGGTTACACAGCGCAAGTTATTTCTCGATACGTTTGTGTGTGTGTGTGTGTGTGTATGTGTGCGCACGCGCGCGCGTGTATTGTGTTAAATTACACTCGAGAGACAATTTATTGCTTTTTACGAGTGATATTAAATACATTATAGAGTTAGGGCATTAATTGCCAGTCACGCCGTTCATTATCTTCTCTCTGAATCGTTCTCTCGTTTAATTCAATAAAGTGGATAATAATAGCGTATGGCTCGCCTCGGCAAGGTCGCGCGTTTTACACAGACGGCAAAAATGAAATTCCTCCTCCGTCGTTGATCGAGAAGAGCGAGGAAGAGGAGGAGGGGGAGTGGTGGAGGAATGACGACGCGCTGTCCCTCGCGGCTTTCTTTCGGCGATTTTCAAAAATGACCGCTGGAATCGAAAAATAACGACGTTCGACGTTTCACTCGAGGTCTCGAGGAGCCGCCGACTGCCACACGCCCGGGAGAAGAGAGCCCGGGCGATCGCGATTTCCAGAGATTACTACTCCGCTTCCGACAACGACGATGACGACGACGTCTCGGACAAACTGTCGGACGCCGATTGCAATTACCTGTTTCTATGTCATTAAGCAAATACGCCGTTCATCAGTCTGCCCTTGGAATTAGCCGCGTTTAATTTAATAAGGAGGATAATCGCGCGTGCCGCTCGGTTCGAGAGAGCGTCTCTCTCTCTCTCTCTCTCTCTCTCTCTCTCTCTCTCTCTCTCTCTCTCTCTCTCTCTCTCTCTCTCTCTCTCTCTCTCTAACTCCAACTCCCTCTTTTTCCCCGGACAACAAGAGCGAATCGCAGGCCCGTCCGTCGATCATCGCGAGAAGCACGCGGACGATCCTCCAAGGACCGTCCAACAAGTATCTCGCCGTAGGAATAAAGAGCCCGGGGGAACGAGGCGGGCGACGATAGGCAGCGGGAGGGAAGGCGCGGAGGGGAGAAAGAGAGAGAAAGAAAGAGATAAGGAGAAAATACGTAGAGCACCGAACATCGACGGCAGACGGAGGGCATCGACCCTAAATGCACTGTCCTACGTCCGCGCTCTCTCTCTCTCTCTCTCTCTCTCTCTCTCTCTCTCTCTCTCTCTCTCTCTCTCTCTCTCTCTGTGCGGTGCCTTGTGGTTTTGCCACACCGGCGCACGTTCTCTGCGTGTGTGCGTCGCTTAGGCGCGCTCGCGCGCGCTCCTTCGCGCTTCCTCGATCCAGCAGCACCTGACTCGTTGACAACGCGGATACCTACGTGGATCGCACGGATCGACTCGTCGAGCGGCGCGTCTGAGCGAGAAAAGTCCAGCCGGTTGAAATCGCGATTTTTCGGCCTGACGCGGACGCAAGTTAGACCTGTCTTTCGCGGTCGCGCGTGCGCGCACGCGCGCGCACGCGATGTTGCTCTTCGTGGGGCTGACGGAAATGGGGTTGTACTACTTTGACGCAGCTGGTTCAGCTAGCCGTTACCGGTTGTCCGACTCAGCTCGCAGCTCTTTAGCTCCGCGGCCTTCGTATTTCTGGAAACACGAAGAAGACCGCCGCAAAAGGAGACGGTCTTCTTCGTATTTCCATATTCGCCTCGAAATCCCAAATTCCCGCAGGAAAACCGCGCGTGCGTTTTCCTCGGAGCGTGGGAATTTTTGTCGCTCACTTCTCGCCGATTACTTACACTCCCCCTTCCCCCTCCCAAGTTTCTCCCTCTCTCGTTTCGCTCTCTCTCTCTCTCTCTCTCTCTCTCTCTCTCGTTTTGCTTCCTCTCATTCGCCTCGAGACCCTTCAAGTTCGAGCGACATTTCGCTTCGTCGTGGAGCAACAATGACGTTCACACGAATTAACAACGTTTGCGACGCTTTAATCCGAAACACATGTACACGCGACGGAACGTCGTCGGTGTCTTTGCCCGGCTGATTGCCGAGCGACTGTCAGAGAGAGAGAGAGAGAGAGAGAGCTGCTGCCGGCAAGAAACCTGCTAAATCGCCGCACGAAAGAGTTTAACGATCGCGTCTCGAACGGTACAAATTACTTGGCTTCGTGGGAACGTTCACAATTTTAGAATCGTGCCGACGCGTTCGGCGCTCTGCGCGCTTTGTTTATTAACGCGCGTTTTTCCTCGACGGCGGAACGAGGACCGATGGTAAATGCGCGCGATTTATCAAAGCATCTCGCGCGGGTAATGAAAAGCGCGCGTTCGGAAAAATGCCGCATGAAGTATCGCTGTCCATTTACCTCGTCCAATTATCACCGCTGCACGGAGAACCGTAAAGCGTGGGCCCGTATCCGCTCGATATAACATTGAAATTTAATAACACACCGTGTAATACCTCGCGGCAAACAATTTCTAACGTTAACGTCAAGCGAAACGTTCCTTAAAAAAAAAAAAAAAAAAAAAAAAAGGCGCTCCATCAATTCAGAGTTCACGTTAACGTAAATATAAATTTCGCGTTTCAATTCTTCCACTTCCCGTCCCGATGGACACTCTTAAGCCTAGTCTACAATACGTGTTGTAAGCTGCAAACCGTAAGAACTGACCAATTATAGCCGATTACTTTTGTAATAATCGACTGTGATTCGTCAATTTTTACGGCTTACAGCTTACGACACGTATTGTAGACCAGGCCTTAATGTGTATATTTCCATATCTTTTTCTTCTCGCGCACCGACAGTGCGCTTTTCTCTCGCGTATTACGTTGAACGACAATCTCATTCAGGGACGTCGAGCGATAATGGCAAAAGAAGTGAGGCATTTAAAAATAACTTTTCTCGGCGCCGTTCTCGTTCACCGCGGATATCCTCCATTTGCGTTCGGCGTTAAGCGCGCGGTGAGAACACGCTCCATTGTCGATTTCCGACTGTGTGTCGCCTGGTGTTGGTGTTGTTGTTGTTGTTGGTGCAACTCATCAGCTCCCTCGGAGGAGCCGGCGTCGTGGAAAAGGAAGGGAACCTGTTCACGCGCGAGGTGTTCCTTTAACCTCGCACGTTCCGGCATGCAACGGAACCGCCGTGTCGTAAGCGCGTTCGCGTTATTGCACACGCCGCCGCTCTCTTCTCTCTCTCTCTCCCTCCCCTTCTCCTCTCTCGCTCGGCGAATGCGAACACGCGCGGAACGGGGAAGAACACGCATCCGGTCCGCGTAGGAGACGGCAGCGGCGGTGGAAATGAGCGGAAAACGTTTCCGCTCGGCGAGAAGGGGAGAGAGAAAGAGAGAGAGAGAGAGAGAGAGAGAGAGAGATATGGGTAGATAAACAGAGGAGAGGAAATTAAATATACGAGAAACGGTCGAGGAGACCGACGCGGCACTACAGGGAAAGGCGTGAATGAGTGTTCCTCGTTTGATAAGAGCCATAGGCCGAGAGGGGGAGGGGGCGAGAGGGCGCGATTGCCGTTGTTACACGATCCCGTCTGGAACACGGTAACGGAAGGATTGTATTCCGGCGGGATTCCGGTCGCGCGTGAAAGAGTTCGCGCCGCCTCGGCGCGCGCGAGGGGGACGCAATCGACGGATCGATCGAATGGAAATTGACGAATTAAACTCGCCCGCGCGCGCGAATAACGGGACTCGATTCCGGTCAAGTCCAGACGATGAAGCACGAAAGAGAACGCCGGGTGGTGATCTCACGGGGGATACTCGACGAAGGGGATGCGCGCTCGCTCGTTCACCGACTGCTCTACCGCGCGCGCGGCGAACAATCGCCGCGCGGTGTGTGTCCATCATCTATTATCTATTATCTCGTCATCTCCGTCGCTCCTCACTGTTCGCCAGTCGCGGCACGCGCGCGCTTTTACCGTTCCGTTAGAATCGCCGGGCGGCTTCCGAGAGCTCCGAGCGCGACCTCGCAGCGCGGCGCGGCGAAATCTCGCGCGCGGGAATTAGGCGCGACGCGCGGCGATATCGAGACTTATATAGCGAGCTCTATGCGGCAGCCTTTGTCGCGTAAATTGTAGCCAAGATAAACGTAGACGGAGCACACGGAGAAACGCACGGTCAGCTGGTAGATGGCTAATGGATTAATCGACATAACTAACGCGCGAGTATTTCTGGCGACGTAACGAAAGGCAATATCCAGCTCGCGAGCCTAATTCCACGCTCGTTTCTATACCGAGCGACGAGTATTACATGGTACGTATGTACCGTACGTATGT